TCTGATCTAGGTGAGGCACTCTCTGCCCTAACTTGGTACCTGAACTCAGTAATGGACTGGATGAGGGTCAATAAACTGAGATAAACAATAAACCATTAAATTGTGGGTGGGCTGCTGCTCTGGCAGGCTGGAGAGCCATTACCCTGTCCTAAATGGGGTCACACTCCCCCTGAAGGACAGGGTCTGCAGCTTGGGGGTGCTCCTGGACCAGGACTATCACTTGAGGCCCAGATGGTCTCAGAGGCCAGGGGCACCTTCCTTCAGCTGCAGCAATTATGTCAACTTCACCCCTACTTGAAGAGATAGAGCCTGGCCACAATCACACATCATCATCATCATCATCATCATCATCATCATCATCATCATCATTATTACATTTCTATGCCGCCCCTTGCCGAAGCCTCGGGGTGGCTTACAACACAATAAGATACATTGAAATACAATAGAACATAATAAATTACCACTAAATACAAAATACAAAAAATACACTGAGATACAATAATATAAAATTAAAATTAACAGTATAAAATAAGTAAATAAAGAATATAGGAGGAGAAAAGAGAAGGAAGAAGAAGTTGCCCTGGCCAGATCATATATTTTAACAATTAAAATGAGGTTTAAATAAAAAGGTCTTTACCTGGCGCCGAAAAACCAGTAACGACGGTGCCAGGCGGACCTCTTTGGGGAGTGAATTCCATAGGTTGGGCGCCACCGCAGAGAAAGCCCTCCTCCGGGTACTTACTCTCCTAATTTCTTTCATGGAGGGTTCCCGGAGAAGGGACATGCACTGATAGCATCCAGGTTAGATTACTGCAATGTGCTTTAGGTGGGGCAGTCATTGAAGACAGTTTGGCAAATTCATCTAGTCCAAATTCAGGTCATGTGGTTGGTGGCAGGTGTTAACACGCAAGTTCATATAACACCGGTTTTGTAGAAATTGCTCTAGTTACTAGCTGTAGCCCAGGCCCAATTTAAAGTGCATGTTTTGACATATAAATCCCTAAATGGCTTAGGATCTGGCTACATGAAGGACCATCTGCTCCCATATATACCTATCCACCCTTTAGTATTTGGGCAAGAGGCCCTTCTTGGTGGCTGCCCCTTGTCTAGATCAAGATCCCCAAAGAAATTTGCCTGGTGGCAACCTTGTTTTAATTTCAATGCCAGGTGAAGCTGTTCCTTTTCTCTGAATATTTTCAAGGAGAATCTTACATTTATTATTGCTTATTGGTATAACTTATTGATATAAAAATGTGATTTTATTGGTTGGTTTATATGATTTATTGGTTTCGGTTTTATTGCTGTTTTTAGTATTTTATTGTAAACTGCCTAGATAATCCATCTGGATTAGTGGGTGTCATACAAACAAACAAACAAACACACAATCACGTATGTACCTGGGTAGAAGGCAGAATGGGAGGTATAGCCTGGGCTGTTGGGAAATGACATAAACCATGTCATTGAGCTTTTTTCTGGTCTTGTGGCTACAGCACTTCTCTCTTTGTAGGTCTGCTACTTTTCCTGTTCCCCATCTAAAACAATGACTGTTTCCTCTGGTTTCCCAAGGTTAAAGAGCAGTTTTGTCAGTCCAGCGAAAGTGCAATTAGTAAGTGAGGAAAAAGTTAAGAGCACTATCATTAGTTCAGCAAAAGGGCAGTCCAAAATTGGGGTCTTATGAGGACACTTTAGCACAAGAGTTGCATCCAAGAAGTCGCAAAGCCAAGGCACCAAGTCTGTAAGGTACTAGAAGCTAAAAGAAGGATGATGTTCCAGCAGCTTAGAGGTGTCAGCTGAAGGTCTAAATGGCCAGGTTTCCCAGCAGACACCCAGGCAAGTGTTTAGCCTAACTTAGGGCCTTCCTACTTTTGAGGAGTCCTTGCTCTTGACTAGACCTTGACTTTAAAACATTCTGGTTGATTGGGACTTGAAGCACATGCTTTGCCTTTGAGTAGCCCGTATCTACACATTCTGGCACTGCTGCTCAGTGTGGATTGGATAGTCCTTTGAGAAGAAGACAATTGACCATTCTTTCTGTAAAGTGGACTTGGACCAGATAGTCCTTCAAACAGGAGATGCTTCTGAATAGAGGGTTATCCTTTGTAAAGCAGAGCATCTGGCCACCTAGGTCATTCATAGTGGTTTTCTATTTAGCTGTCTGGTGTGGAGTTTAAGAGCTGGGGGAAGATGTTGATTTTTGTTTGTTGGGGGGGGGGCTATACTATAAAAACCAAAATAAATAAGAGTATGCAAATACCAGTAAGTGCATCATTTCAATGTTCTTGCAGTAAGCCATATCACAGAGTACCACAGTTTCCCTCTCTCTGCTATGAGATCAGTAATCTTAAAATACAATATACAACATACACGGCAGCTGCTTTCTAGATCTCTTGAGTCCTTTGGCTACTTGAAGAGGCTACTAAATACTCAATTTAGTAACACAAATATAATGCTATAAAGAATATATTTGCATGAGCAGGAGATGCCATTTAATGTAGACTTGCCAAACTGCCTGCCTGCTGCATATTGAACACTGTCAGTTTTAACACGTCGCAAACCTATGGATATGTTCGAGTTTCCAATTGCAAGTTTAAATGTATTGCATGCACAGCACTATGCAGCATTTTTGCAACTAGGATTGAATTAAAGAAAATGCCTTGCTTTCTTCCTCAACAGTCTCCATTTTGTCTGGAAGGGTGCCTCCATATATGGGGTCTCCATAAGCAAGATCCAGTGTTTTAATGCTCTCCCTATTTCACTTCTGTTAGGGGGTGGTGGAGGATATTCATAAATGCTTTTCTGCACTTTTCTATTCTCATGTTTAGGGGATAAAGGCCTAACAATTGGGTTGATTCTGGTTTTTGCTTCTAACAAGGAGAATAAGGGAGCAACATCTTTTTAAAATTGTTACTAGTGTAGAGTTTCCACGGAAATGAATCTGAATGCCTTATTGTATGGCTCTCCTTTTGAAGCTGCAGTGGCCCTTGCCAAGTTTTCAAACAGAACTTAAAAGCCCCTCACACGTTTTCGCATTCCCCTCACTCACAAAAAGGCCTGTCTGTCTCCCTCCTCTACATTTCCCAGGCTGAATAGGATGACTAGTCCAACCAGCTCTGCAGACACAGTGGCCTGATCCAATCGTCAGAAAGAAAATCTGCCCCCTCCCACCCTCGCCTCAGAGGAGCAATGGGAAGTGTTGGGAGGAGTCAGCCATTTAATTTGGGGTTTGCATGCCTCTTCTCCCAGTGAAGAAGGGGCTGAGCTCAGAGAAAGTCCAGGATTGTAACACAGGACTGGAAATAGTAACAGCTACTCTCACACGAGCTTCTCTTTAGCTGCTTGTCTCATCCAACACTTAAGATGGTTGATGCGTTTTGTGCTACCTGGAAGTTGATTGACAGCCAGAACTTTGATGAGTACATGAAGGCACTAGGTATGTAGAAGGAGCTGCAGTGGAAAGTTATTCTGACAGTGGCAGAATTTTCAATGGCAATTTTGACCATTTTTCTTTAGCACAATGTTAATAGTCAGACAGGTGGGGATTTTGGAGGAACTAATTTGATTGAAAACAAACAAACCCAAAACCAATGTTATGATTTTAAGACATGTGAATTAGTTCATATCAGTCTAAATTACAGTGTACAAGATAGTTAAGCCAAATTGATGGCTTCTAAATGGATGTTGATTCAGAGCCTAAATATGCTTGCAAAGAAGCAAGTTTCATGAAAACCTTTGTGACTTAGGACACAATCATATTCATATTTAGGCAGAAAGAAATCCATCAGTTTCCATAGTTCCTTAGCCAATAGTACTAGCTGGGAAACATTGGGAGTTGTAGGGATTTTTTCTGCCTAAACTTGCATAGGATTGCACCCTAAATTAGAACAAAGTTTTGACCTTAAGTGTGCTTGCTTGAAATTGAAGTTAATATAAACCAAATGAACTTGCCTCAAACTACATATATTTGGATTGGGATATAAATGTACTTAGCATTAAACTGATAGTGTTCTTTAAATGTTTTAAACCTCTAAAAAACTTCTCAGAAATCATAGCCTAATAATATAATCTTAAAACCACTTTCCTCAAAATGTCATTGAAAATAAATGGACTGGAAATAAATTAAAAGACTCTCATTTTAAATGTGATCATTCCTGAATTACAATACCAAATCTAGAACAATATGACAGAAATAATTTGCATAATGACTGAGTTTTGTGAGTTTAAAAGGAAAGTCACTGAGGAAAGTGCCTTGCTCAAGTTTGTACAGCTTTACTATTTATGAGAAATAAATGACACCTGTTTTGATAACATAGGCTGGTACAAGTCTGGGTGGAACAGAGAAATATGTGCTCAATGTTTGCAAAGAGGTAGCTGTCAGCACAGATGCTGGGCCCAGAGTCCTTTAGCCTCATTGTTTCAATCTGGCTAGTTCAACAGTATTGGAAGAGGGAGAATCTTCATGTCAATAGAAAAAGCAAACACTGAGCTGAAAGGTGGGTAATTCATGCCGCTTTATCTTTGACTGTTTACTTGCATCGAAGTCCTGCTGAGTTCTAGTGGTTTGCTCCCATGCAATTGAGCATAGGAGTGCAGCCTTAAAATGCCTATCATTTTATCATGATTCCAGGTTTGATCCAGATGTATGATGGATCAACTGAGTTCCTCAGACCCTGAAAAGCTTTTCCTGCTGAATGGAGTGAGCGCTGGTGTGGGTAGTGGGGATGCTGAGAAATCAAGTGGAGGATGCTTATTCTTGCGAAAGTCAGATCCTGGATCCAACTTCTGGTGTTAGTACTGTGTGCAGTGATGATTTTGTTAGCTCTTGAATATACCAAGGGAGCACCCCTCCAAGAGGGGGATGTAAATAAGATAAAGAAGTGAAATAAATGTTTCTTAGGTGAAAAGGTATTTGGTAGACAGGATTTTCTCCTTTCTTTTAAACTTGGAAACCCAATATATCAAATAATCCAGGTATATTCCTTTAATTAAAAACAAATGCTTAGGAGTCGGCTTTGCTACCCGCCAAGTGGGAAATGTAACCAAACCAACAGTGATCATCAGCCAAGAGGGAGAAATATATGTCATCAGGACCCAGAGCACCTTCAAAAACACAGAAATCAAATTCAAGCTGGGAGAGGAATTTGATGAAACTACTGCAGATGATAGGAACTGCAGGGTAAGCAAGGAAAAGCTCATGTGCTTTTTATTTAGCTTTAAGCTGAACACTTCAGTGTTGATAGGAAGGAAAAAGAATATGATTGCATCTGAAGCTGTTTTAAACAAAAGAATATGGTTGCACTAAGCTTTTATAAACAGAAGAAATAACTTTACACATACAAGCAATGAAGGAGAATGTTGTAATGATATGACTTGCAATTTAACTTATGACACCACCTATTTGGAAGGCGATTCAAACCAATAGGACTTCGTTCTAACTTAAAGCATTTAGGACAGGGATATTAACCTGTGATAATACACTGACATCATCTTCTCCAAGGCCTCAGAGTACCCACACCATCACCCCTTCTGTATGATAGAAGCCACTGGCCATATGAGGTGGGCATGGTGCACTCAAATAACACCCATAGACCCATTATGTCCCTTTCCGTTTCTGGAGAAGTCCAGAATCTGCTAGATAATAGTGGGTCATGTTTCTGCCCTGACCACAGCCCATATGACAAAACTGCAGCTTCATATTTAGGCACATTAATGAAGGATTTCCATCAAAGATAGAATCCAATTCAGTGAAATAGGTAAAGGGCCTTTACATCAGGTCAAATATTTGGATAAAATAAACAATTTTATGAATTATAAATACATATTGGGTTATATCCAGTATTAATCTACTGTAAGTCCCATTCATTCAAAGGGATTTATTCTAAGTAGGTGTAACACTGCATACAACTCATTTGTGCAAGGTTATTTTATCTAACTACAAACAAAAGAATATATTTAGCTTTTACATTTGCTTCAGTTCTTTGAAATGCAGTTTGTCTGAAACTAAGTTAGTTCATACTTCTACTCATAATCAAGGGATTCGAAAGCATTGCATTTTGCTCAATTATCTGTGTAATTATGATGATAATCGTGCATTCATTTGGGTGTGTGTTTTATGCCCACAGTCAGTGGTGACCATGGATGGAGATAAATTAGTTCATGTACAGAAATGGGATGGCAAGGAAACAAGCTTTGTTAGAGAAATTAAAGATGGTAAAATGGTCATGGTAAGTAGAAAAAGTTTCTTGAGGCTGTATATGTGCATGACTCAAGCATGCTGAGAGCACTTTTTTCTGAAATGAGCAGTTAAACTGTCTAAAGAGTATTTTTAGCAGGGGAACAATTCTACTGTTCCTAATAAAGCATAGAGATAGTGATTTTAACGAGTTACAAATATTTATGTAACAACATATATGTATAATAAATGCTGATGATGGTCATTTTAATTAATTGCGGTTACATGCCATTTTCTCTGACTTATGACTATGCATGGATGCCCTCCAACATGCTCCATCCTTGACAGCCCTATTCAACTCTTGTTAACTCAGGGTTGTGGCTTCCTTTATGAAATTGACCTGTTTCAACCACATTAATGCTACCTTGCTTGGGAACTTGCTTTTTCTTGTAGCAAATCCATATTTTCAGAAAATCTGTAGGTACAAAATCAGTGGGGTTTTTGCACATCAAATGATTGTGATTTCTCAACATACATCCCTTAGGGCACAATCCAGTGAGGTTGCCTACAACTTTCCAAATTTGGATTATCATGGGCATTCTATGCAGGATAGAAGGAATGTAAGCAACAATGTTTGTCTCTATGCCCTTCTGCTCTGCAAAGCAGTTTAGTTGTCTAACTGCAGGACTTCCAAGTGGCAGACAGGAGGGTGAAGCACTACCAGGAAGAGTCATAGCTTGGGAGTACTGATATCCTCCCCTTCCTGCCCTCTAAACCTCTTCTCTGAGGTCACTCCAAATACTTTAGAGATGTAGCCAATGTGGCTCTTTCCACAATGGCAATGAGGGGAGCAGAGAACTCTGAGCACAGATCTCCAGCGCCAAAGTCAGAGCTATTGTCCAACCCTGGAGCTGGAAATCAGAAGAATACTATGGTCCTTCAGATGCCTGTCTGGCACCAATAGGATCACTCTGCCCTTCTCTCTCGCATTTTGTTCCCTACCTTATATCAAAGCCAACACCTTCAGCTGTTCATAGATTTTTCTGCATTGTTTCCTAGCCATTAATACATGTTTCTTTACTAGAACATATCATGCAACTCACTGATGAAATGTGTTGAAATAAGGTCATACTGCAGAAAAGTGCACTACACTGATGGTGCATTTTTATAAGGTAGAAGGTAACTATAGCTAGATATTCACCTGCCACCTTACTAATATTTTAAAAGCATGTAAGGAACAATCAGAATTCACATTGCTGGCATGAAGGCACAGAAACCAAATTGCAAATTCAAGATCACACTGCCAGTGATTAATCTCCTACAACTGTTGTGAAAATGCTATATCTAACTTTATAACTTATGACTGCTTCACAGTTTTGGGATGCTAGATATGAACTTGCCAATTAGTTTTATGCTGTTAACACTGAGGATTGTTGAGTAGGCTATACACGGTAAATATGGAGTGCTCTTTAAGCTGATGTTCACTATGTTGGCCATCTTTGCTTATTGGTACATTATTGCAGAAATCTGGTAGCAAGTCCCAAATTGCTTAGTGAAATTTAAATTCTGCAACAATTGCTTGCTGAAAATCACAAAATGCATAGAGGAGGTATTCATCCTAATTGATCAGTTTCTCATTAACTTTGCAGACTCTCACCTTTGGTGATATTGTTGCTGTTCGCCAGTATGAAAAAGCATAAAATTTGTCGGTGTCCTGTCTGAATTTTTAATACTACTGAATGAAATGAAGAACAGTCCTAAGTTGACCATCTCTGAAATGAACTTTGCTGACAAAGAAGGAATCCAAGTGCTAGTTTGTTTTTTAACTGTATACCATCAAGTTGGCACACACTTGCTTTGTAAATTGCCACAAGTAAAACTGCAATACAACTCTGAAACACTTGCCTATCTTCTTAAGAGTTTGCCAATAACACTGTACATTTTATAACATTCTAACTAAACTGCAATCAAGGTATTGTTATGGCTTAATAGTAATGGTGTGGTGATTCAGTGAAAACAGATTATATACAATACACCTTTTACTCAATATTTAGTCACAGCAAGGAAGAAATGACATGTTATCCATCCTTCCCTTACTTTTCTCTTGCATATGTACACATTCATGTTTTCTGCTGCCCTCACACACATGCAACCATCAGTCTCTCCATCCTAGTCTTCCCAACTCTTATCTCCATTTGTACTCCGATTCTCACTCTGTGGATATATCCATTTAGAAATGATTCACAGTTAATTTATTATGTTGCCGAGATCCCAAAGCTTGTGGCACATAGGATAGTGCCCAAAGCTGCCCTTTTGCTAGCAAGAATGACCCCCATCACAATGCATTTCTGGTTGCATTATGGCATGCAAGCTTCTGGCAGCTGATTCTGTTAGTACAACATATTTAGCACTGGCGGCCACCCATGCCAGTCAGTTCAAGTCATATTGCTTCAGGCACAAACTACTTCAAAGTAGAAAGCCACTTCAGAAAGTCCAGGTCTTCAAGCTTCTCTTATTTATTTATTTATTTATTTATTCATTTAAAACATTTTTATGCCGCCCCCATCGCAAAAAAGCCTCGGGGCAGCTCACAGCAAGAACAAAATTATACAATAAAAATATTAAAACCCGGTGCATGATAGTCAATTCTCTTGATTGACTATCATGGGGATATGATACAACATGGGATCTATCCATAAACAGCTCTTGAACAGAATTTGATTAAATCTGCAGGTAAAGCAGCCACTCCTACATAAATGGAGTGTGCCAAATTTCAGAAAAATGGCTGCAGCAGCCTTTCCCAACTTGGGGCCTTCTGTACATTTTGGACTACCATTCTGACCCATACTGGGCCATTGGTCATGTTGGCTGGGACTGATGAGAACTGAAATCAAAAATAACTGGAGGGCCCCCGGTTGATGAAGGCTGAACTTCTGCCTTCTTTATTCTAGGTGCCTTTAAAGTTTTTTTAGTCACTTTGTTTAAGCAAGGCAAACATAATAGTAGAGATGTCTCTTAGTTAGTTACCTGGAAAAATCCCTGGCAAAGAATAGATGCAGCAGGTAAGGAACCATGATAATTTAAAATATATATTAAAACTTGTTGGGGAAGAACTGATTGTAAATTACCATAATGATCTTTTTGCATCCTTGTTCGTGTGGAGGGCACTTTAGTGAGTGTGCATTATTCATTTAGAAGTGCCTATGAAGAGTGTAACAAACAATGTGCATGTGCAACCCACTCATGTAGCACAAACACCAGAAGTAATGGCAAGACTATTATTGTGCAGTTGTCCTTGGCCATAGACAACATTGCCTCATGTATTTTCCCACAGATTCCTTTTTCTTATCAGAACAAGATAAATAAAAGTGGAAAAACCTGGCAGACTAGCTGCTTCATACTGTCTTTTTAATGTAGCCCATCTCTGATGCCCTTATAGTCAGATAGATGCAGCATGAAATTACACTATAACTTATTCACAAATACAAAAGGGCTCATTAAATGTAAATCAAATATATGGAATTAGAGGCAGTGTGTGTCTAGTGGGGGCAGGTGGGGGAGGGAAGTGACTTAGCTAGGTAAAAATACTCAAGACAGAATGGAAACAAACAGGAATATTTTTAAACATTAAAATTGGGTTTTTAAAATGGATTCTTCCATATGACTTGACAGAAAATTCAAAAACATTGGTCTGGATAATGGGAAGGATTGTCACAAGCCAGCATCAGATACCAGCAACTACCGCACCAAACTCTTTCAGCATTACTCTTACGAGTGAAGAACTAGCAAACTTTTTGAATGCATTAATTCAATATCCCCTCTGCCCCTCAGAACTTCTGGTGAAGTAAATTCCAGGTTTGAGGCTAGAGCACTCAGTCACGAAACACATCTTCTGTTCTGCTTCTCACCTCTGCCTGGCAGTTACCTTTTATGGAAAGCTTGTGGAAGGAAGGTGTAGCAATTCTCATCTGTCTTGTTCCAGACCTTTATGCCTTTCTGCATCTCCAGAGCAGGTCAGAAGCTTTTGGAGCAATCCAGTTCAGTTTTGTCTGCTTCAGAGAAAGGCCACAATTCTTTGGATGAACCCCAAATCTCTGCAAAGTGCCCAACCTCAGTTCTCATTTCAGGCTTTGTCTGAATGCGATGCACATCCCTGCAACAAGGCCTCATAATTGCTTACAATTCACTTCACAGTGAGTATTTAGAAGGCTTTATTCTAGTACAGAATTTATCTGTGTAATAACCGCCTCCAAAAAGATGCAACTTCTGGATATTGCGAAAATGTATGCATAAAAGCAGCATTCACTGCATTGCCCTGCCAGCAATTAGCAGACATAGACAACCCCTACCGTGGGGTAGGTTAGGCTGAGAGTGAGTGACTGCCCCAAAGTCACCCAGTGAACTTCATGACTGAGAGGGGACTAGAACCCAGAGCTCCAAAATTCCTAGTCCAGCACTATAAACACAACACCATGCTGGCTTGAAAAAAGATTATGGTGTCCCATAGACATGTCTAATATCAATAGACACAACAAGTAGCAGCCAAAGTGGTGATGCACTGATTAGACACTCAGTTTCTTAACAGTTTCTCACATTTCCAAATAAGCTCTAAAATGGTCAGGATCCCTTGTAACCGATTCACTTGGTTATCACTGCAATCCAGATAAAAGCATAGCATGCTCCCAGAAAGATTGCTTCCTTGGAAGTACTAATCAAAAACATTGTGCGGCAATTCCATTTTCCTGTGATTTCTTGTGGTAAGAAATAAGACAGAGGAAGTCATGGGAAACTGTGTAAGGTAACAAAAGAAAGACAAACCATTTCTGCATCTCTGGTAAAATTCCACGAATGAGGCAGGGAAACTGCACAATAAAAGACTCCTGTGGAAGCACCCAAAGCAGCCTCGAGATGAAATGCCCTATGAAGAATAGATGAAAGTGTTGAAGTAGCACCTGCTCCTTGTCACACAGTTTTTGTAAATAAATAAATAAATATCCTGAATTTATTCAGGAATTGTGTATGGCTACTGTGCCCGTGTCCTTCCTTACTAACTCCTAACACTAAATTAGTAAATGAACATTTAATCAGTTTAACAAGCAAACTGGAATTATTATTAATAATAATTATATCATTATCATCATCATCAATAATAATAATAATAAAAAATTACATTTCTATACTGCCAATACCCAAAGCTCTCTGGGCAGTTCATAGCATTTAAGCCACCCATCCAGATTTCAACCAGGCCTAACCCTGCTTAGCTTTCAAGATCCAAGAATAATGGCCATTTTAATTTTGTTTGATCAAATGTATGTGGACTACACAAAAACAAGAGTGATCATAGTAAGTATGCTCTGCTAACATACTTTGAGGCAGAGGGCTTCTAGTGCTACCAATCAAAAGAAATATAAATATTCTGCATTTTCCTCCTTGAAGGGTGGTTTTTGTTTTTGTTTTGGTGGAAATTAGAAAACCAGAACTAGTGTGAAAAATCAGGATTACAAATTAAAGACAGTGAAATCTGGATTTCCTATAACATTCTATAAATGAGGCCTAGGGATACCATAATAAACCCAGATGCAATTAATTTTGCTGGCATGAAGCGAACGTTTCTTCTATGTCACACAGACTGAAATTGCATGCTATGCCAACCTATTGTGGGTGACATCTGGTTTTCTGTGATCTGGCCAACCAGTAATAAGTTCTTGGGCATTGGACATCCAATGTGTTTCTTGGACATTTTGGAAAGGCTGCCACTCACTCTAAATTCAGACAGTGTTCTTTGTAGTCTCCCAACTTTTTAAAGGGGGTTGGGGTAAAGGGAAAAAAACCCAGAGCAACCCAAAAAAGTTTGCAAGTTTGCAAAGTTTGCAGTATGAGGGAGAGGGAACAAGACAGCCCTGCTGTGGTGTCCCCTGGAATTCACGTGGGAGGACCAAGAGGGAAGGTGGGGGACAACTCATGGTGAGTCTGATCATTTGTCAATCACTGTGTTAGTTGTCCAGGAACCAACCAATCCATCATGGTTTATTGCTGGACTGAGTTAGCCTGAAACCTGAATCTGCTCAGATAACTGCATGTTGTAGGAAGTAATTATTACACAGAAACAGTTCCTACTCCCAACCCCTTTAATTCACCCTCCTGCCACAGGTCACACTCTAACTGCTGCTGCACTGCTGAAGTTATTGAGAGAACATGCGTAAAACACTTTCCACATTTTGAAATGCTATATTCCTTCATTCCCTGAAATACGCAGTGAAGAATCCTCTGGCAGTCCTGTATATTAGGTTTCTAGAAATTTCTCTATATAGACAGATGTTATAAGCAAAATCAGACTGCTCCCTGACATATAAACTATTGCATTGTATCTGATGGTTCTATGCTGGGAGTTGGCATTGCTGGTGCACTGGAACAGTATTCATGGAACACTGGACTTCCATTTAGCTCAGAAAATGTATACAATGCTGATGTGGCAGGAAGCTCAGCCAGCACTAGTTTTTTGGGAATTGCAGTACTGGTACAAACAAAGAATCATGATCTCTGTGTGTGAATCTTTGCAAGACTGTAGCCTATTTGTGTAACCTTATAATAATCCTCTACAGAACTTGCAATGTTTTGTCACTGCAGTATGGTAATACACATTGTGTCCGTAATCCATTAATACAACTCACATCGCTGCTGTCTGGTTTGTGCACTCAAAGTAGATAACTGCCTTTCCCAGGCCTCCTATTCTATGAGTTGTGAGAACAAGGTTGTTGACTTCATCTCCATGGAAAAAGCTATTCGAACGGTGTTAATTTCCATGGAAACTGATTTATGGCGGTACCAATTCAAAGAAAAAGGCAATTAGGTTCTTGGTGGGAAGGAGAGAAGAAATGGCTGAAATGGATAGTCGGTTTAAATGATAAATAAATATCTGACAATACTCTTCTTCTTTTGTGTGATGTCCTTCGTACACATCACAAACACACTCAAAATGAACGATTGTTTTCTCCCCTTTTTCATCCTACACATAGCAGCAATGCAATAACATTTTATTGACCTGTCACTTAAATACAATAAAAGGGTACATCAAAGTACCAAGAATATTGCTACATTTTACATCTTTTAGAATGTTTTGTAGCCAGTGCAAAAAACTTAGACTCCATGTGTGGCTTATGCTTGCAGATGCAGCCTGTAGTTAAAACATAGGCAACAGAAACTTCAAATTTTATACATATGAGGAAATCAATGAATTTTGGGAATGAGAGAATATTACTGGTCTGAGTAAACTTACAATGAAAACGTAATTGATTCATTTTTTTCCCATTCTCATGGTTTTCTGGAAAATCTTTATCTTTAGAACCTGTATGAATTAGGAATAAAATTAGCAAGTGAAGATGTTTGACCCATGAAGTGATTAAAAAAATAATTTGCTAAATGTCTATCAGATAGAATAGGGCCTCTCCCATTTTAGTAGTAAATTGGGCATCACCCCAAAGTGACTCTATTTCTTCCTTGCCTTTCTCTTGACAGCTGTCAAAAAGTGAACTGTCAAGACAAAGCAAAGCTGCAAGTGATATTTGATCACCTGTTCTGTGACTAGTTTTCCATCTTTTTTCTTACCTGACTGTCCTCAGAGTGCTGCACATTGTACATTTTCCCTCTGATACTCTGCCAATTCAAGAAAGTGCAAAAGTGCACCCAATCCCCTTATCAGATAAACAATCTATTTATTTATTCAAAACATTTGTATGCCATCCTTTATGACAATCATCTCAGGGCGGCTTACAGCGAATAAAAACAGTCAATAAAACAATACAATAAAATGATTTATAACCAATAAAATAAATCAAAGTGACTGTTAATAAAATTACTAAATTTTAAAATAATGTTTAAATAAAAAGGTTTTAACCTGGCTCCAAAAAGAATATAGGCTTGGTGCCAGGCGAACCTCTCTGGGGAGCGCATTGCACAATCTAGGTGTCACCGCAGAGAAGGCCCTCCTCTGAGTAGATGTCCTTTTTACCTCCTCCAGGGAGGGTTCCTGGAGTAGGGCCTCTCCCACAGATCTTAAGGGGCATGAGGGCATATAAGGACGGAGACATTTCTTCAGGTATCCTGTTCCCAAGCCGTTTAAGGCTTCATAGGTCAAAAACAGCACCTTAAATTGGGCCCGGACTTCAACTGGAAGCCAATGGAGGTGGTAGAGGACCGGCGTTATATGAGAATAATGGCTGGTCCTTGTCAGCAGCCTGGCAGCTCTATTTTGTACCAGCTGAAGTATCCAGACCGTTTTCAAGGGCAGCCCCACACAGAGCACATTACAGTAATCCAACTGGGAAGTTACCAGAGCTGCCAAAATTCAGTTTCTTTTAAAACAGGGTTTTGTTAGGGCAATGCATGTTTTTTGACAGAGAATATGCATCCATATGTCCTTGTCAAAAACCACTCACTGATCTGTCAACATACTGCATTAAACAGACGCAGCTAGCTGTCAAAAGTGCTTTTCCCTGAAAAGGGGATTGAATACACTTTTCCACTTTCCTGATCATTTAGGCTCTTGAGGGCAAATGCAAAATTTTCAGTACTGTACAGAGAATCAAAGCAGAAAAGAAAAAGAAAAAAACAGGATCCCATCATGTAGGAGTAATTTATTGGCCACCCCTATTCATGACTGAAGATTACTCGTGCCTCTGTTTCCATTAACAGCTATCAAGAGAAGGCCAAGCAAAGACAACTGCAGTCAGTCTCTTTGGGGCAAGGCCCAGAGCTACTCCCTGCAGCAGATTGACAACAGACACCCCTTCAGGACATAGACTCAGCTGAGATGTCAAATTTCTGCACTCATGAAACTATGCAATTTTGCTTTGTGCAAGTGCAGCTATTTTTTTAGTGAAAACAATTGGGCATATTGTGGGCATAATATTATTTACGTGTCTGCCAACCATTGACAGCCCCTCCAATGTGCTCTTTGGGCATTCTGAAAGGTTTCAAAAATGGATGTCACATACAGTGGCTGTCCAGCTGGAGATCACAGTCTCTGGAAGGAGAAAACAAAGGTTAAGGACTAAACAAGGATGGTGAGCAAAAAGTGTTCATGATCACAGTGGGAAACATCCAGCCAATACCAATCCCTACAAAGTGCTGTTTGCGTGGGGTGGCTTGCCCAGGTGAGCTTGGCAATAACAGCTAGGGGATTTCACTGCTCTTGCCAAGTGGCCCAGAAGGCTGCCCAAGTTCAGACAACCTGACAACCCATCATAGGTACTGCTTTGGCACTGTGGCCTGTCACTCATGAATGGCTGTCCTGTTGTGAAACTCCAGTGTTGCTGACCCTATGCCCAAAGCAGGCAACTAACATTTTCTTCACTATCTGGAAGTAGGAGAAATGCTCGGATTCAAATTAATCAGCACACAAAAGGTAATCAGAAGTTATTCCGAATTAATCAACTTAGATCATGAAGGTGAAATTGCATGTTCATTCCCCACTAGCAGAATTCCGTTCTTAAAACAGCTGCCACGCAGGTAGAAAAGCAGCAGGTGGAACTTTTCCTTTGAAAAGGCTGGCAGCAATTGAAAGCCAGTAGGGGGAGAAACTCTACCTGTTGAGTTTCTGCCCCTCACGGAATCCCACGGGATTGCGCGGAATGTGCCTTTCTTAGTCCGAATACATGCGGCGCCACTTCCTGAGCTTTTCTGCTTGCTGATTTATGATGCCTTGGCTCGCTTCCAAGTTCCTCCAAGTTCGGAATGGCGAAACAACCACAATAAGGAGCAACCGCCCAGTCGCGTCTCCTGATTGCAAAGAGACGTTCCTGCACTCTGGACTCCCCGCGGTAATCTAAGGGGAGAAGGACGGTATCGGGGCTCCAGCAGCGCACCCCTCGCTTGCGGGAGGGGGGGAGGGAAGCCGCTTTGCGAATTCCCCCGTCCACTTTGTGAGTCACATGAGAGAACTTCGCCCAGGAGGACCGAGGTGCGGCTAAGCTGAGCATGGGAAGGCCGCGGGCCGCTCGCGCCCTCGCCCTCGGGCCGTGGGGGCGGCTGCTGCTGCTGCGGCTGCTGCTGCTGGGCGACGAGCTGCTCCGGGACCCCGCCAGCGCGGCCCCGGCCCGCGAACGTGGCGAGCTGGCGCCGACTGCGGGTGAGTGTGGCTCTTGCCGCGCGCTGCGTGAATCCCGGGCCCAGAGGCTGGGCGCGCGAAGGCGTCGGTTGCCAAGAGCGAGGCGAGAGAAACCACGTCTCCCCCTTCCCGCCCAAAAAGAGAGAGGGAGCACAAAACAAAAGTAGGTCGAGGGGCCGCCCCAGTTGGCGAGGAGACGCGAGGAGGACACGGGCGGACGGCCTGGCGCGCCGTAGGCGGCCCAGGCTAAAACAGCCTCCCCGAACGTGGGGGAGAATTGCCGTAGAAACCGCAAGGCGGGAGCGCCAGCCTGCCGGCTGGGAGGAATTCCCTATACCCTGCAGTGCAGCGCAATTTAGCCCCTCGTAGGCTGTGCTCTCCTGTTGTCATGTATTGGAGCACTGCGTAGAAACGGCACAACCTTCTCTTAGTTCCATTAATCTCCCATCTACTTGTACATATGAGTGTTTGTACATTATAGATCTTTCATGCACCTAAAAGGATGGCAAACATTATGCTGAAAGATGCATGTGATTACATAGTTTGACTTCAACGTAAAATTCAATTGATTTAAGTGGGGCTTTTTACTATGGAACTGGGTATGGGATTGCAGTTCCCATACCCAGTTTAAGTCTGAGCATGACTTCAGGCGTTGCAGCAAGTGCCCTTCTCAGTTGCAATTTGAAAGTGAAAGTTACATGCAGCTGGTATTTGAAAATCGAAAGGAAAGGCTTTCACACAGTGCAGATGAGAGGTGTGTAAATCTCACCAACTGTACAAGCCTAATTTTACTGGAACCAAGATAGGGGATTATGCCTATATGGTGAAAAAACATCAAGCAGGATAGTTATCAACACTTTCCTAAAGAAGTTTAGCTGTGTGAGCATTTGTAACACCAGTCCTTGTCCCATTGCTTGCTTGCTCGTTGCAAAGTCACGTCCAACCCATCGCAACCCCATGGACAGCACTCCTTCAGGCCTTCCTGTCCTCCACCATCCCCCAGAGTCCACTTAAGCTCACACTGACTGCTTCAGTGACACCATCTAGCCACATCATCATCTGCCATCCCCTTCTTTTGCCATCAATTGTTCCCAGCATTAGGGCCTTCTCCAATGAGACCCTCCTCATTAGGTGGCCAAAGTATTTGAATTTCTTCTTCAGTATCTGGCCTTCTAAAGAGCAGTCAGGGTTGATCTCTAGGACTGACTGGTTTGATCGCCTTGCAGTCCAAGGGACTTGCAGGAGTCTTCTGCAGCACCAAAATTCAAAGGCCTCAATTCTTTGACGCTCAGCCTTCCTTATTGGTCCACCTTTCACAGCCATACATTGCAACTGGGAAAACCATAGCCTTGACTATACGAACTTTTGCCGATAGCATGAGGTCTCTGCTTTTTAGTATGCTGTCTAGGTTTGCCATAGCTTTCCTCCCCAGGAGCAAGCAACTTTTAATTTCTTGGCTGCAGTCCCTTTCTGCGGTGATCTTGGAGCCCAGGAAAATAAAATCTGTCACAACATCCATTTCTTCCCCATCTATTTGCCAGGAAGTGAGAGGACCGGATGCCATGATCTTAGTTTTCTTAATGTTCAGTTTCAAGCCAACTTTTGCACTCTCCTCCTTCACCTGCATCAAGAGGCTCTTTAGTTCCTCTTCAGTTTCTGCCATTAGAGTGGTATCATTTGCATATCTGAGGTTGTTGATATTTCTCCCAGCAATCTTAATTCCAACTGGTGATTCATCTAACCTGGTCTTTCTCATGATGTGCTCTGCATATAAGTTAAATAGGCAGGGCGACAGTATACAGCCTTGCTGAACTCCTTTTCAATTTTGAACCAATCAGTGGTTCCATGTCCAGTTCTCACTGTTGCTTCTTGATAGGTTTCTCAAGAGACAAATAAGCTTGTCTGGTACTCCAGTCTCTTTAAGAACTTGCCACAATTTGTTGTGATCTGCACAATCAAAGGCTTTGGCATAGTCAATGAAGCAGAAGTAGATGTTTTTCTGGAACTCCCTAGCTTTCTTCATGATCCAGTGTATGTTGACAATTTGATCTCTAGTTCCTCTGCCTCTTCGAAATCCTGCCTGTATTTCTGGTAGTTCTCGGTCCACATACTGCTGGAGCCTAGCTGGTAGGATTTTGCACATAACTTCGCTAGCATGTGAAATGAGTGCAATGGTGCAGTAGTTTCTTGGCATTGCCCTTCTTTGGAATCAGAATTTAAACTGACCTTTTCCAATCCTGTGCACAATGTTGAATTTTCCAGATTTGCTGGCATATTGAGTGTGGCACTTTTACTGCATTGTTTTTTAGGATTTTGAATAGCTCAGCTGGAATACTGTCGCCTTCACTAGCTTTGTTGTTGCTCAGACTTCCTAAGGCCCATTTGGCTTCACATTCCAGGATGTATGGCTTGGTTATCAGGGACGTTAAGCTCTTTCTTGTGTAGTTCCTCTGCGTAATCTTGCCACCTCTTCTTAATCTCTTCTGCCTTTGTTAGGTTCCGGTGATTTTTGTCCTTTATCATACCCATCTTTGCATGAAACATAGGTCCAATTTTCTTGAAGAGATCTCTAGTCTTCCCTGTTCTGTTGTTTTCTTCTGTTTCTTTACATTGTTCATTTAAGAAGCCATTCTTATCTCTTCTAGCTATCCTTTGGAATTCTGCATTCACTTGGGTGAATCTTTCTCTTTCTCCCTTGGCTTTCACTTCCCTTCTTTCCTCAGCTATTTGTAAAGCTTCTTCAGACAGCCATTTTGCTTTCTTGCATTTCTTTTTCTTTGGGATGGTTTAGTTGCTGCCTCTTGTTGCGATCTTCCATCCATAGTTCTTCAGGCACTCTGTCAGATCTAATTCCTTAAATCTTTTTGTCACCTCCACTGTATATTCATCAGGGATATGATTTAGATCACACCTGAGTGGCCTAGTGCTTTTCCCTACTTTCTGCAATTTAAGCCTAAATTTTGCAACAAGCAGCTCATGATCTGAGCCACAGTCAACTCCTGGTCTAGCTTTTACTGACTGTATAGAGCTTCTCCATCTTTGGCTGCAGAACACATAGTTAATCTGATGTCTGTGTTGAGTGATGGCATTCATCAACAGGCTTTGCATATGACAGGGATGTCATACATGGTGGATGAGATCTTAACATTTTGCCTTCAGCAGTGGCTGTTGAAGTACTCTTGATGAATTCAGTGTTATCTGAGAATAGTGTAACTGTACATTTAAATGAACAGTTATAATTCATAGGTGCTTTGATTATTATTATGAATAATTTGCATAGTTTTGTATCTAATCCTTCCTAAGAGCATTTTAAACATTTAGCCATTGCCTGACTACACAGTTGCACATTCCATAAGTTTGTTAAGGGCATAATCTCATATACTTTTTTCTGTCTAAACCTGCATAGGATTGTGCCCTTAATTATTATGTGAAGATGTACACTGGACTATCTTTCCTGACCCTACTGTCTTTTCATTGCATATCCTTGATCTCTATTATTTTGAGGCAAAATCTATTTTTCCATGGTGTTCATAACTGTGGAGCGGTATAGAAATGAAATAAATATAAATAAATAAGTACTGGAGTTTCTGGGCCTGTCATAGCTACACAACAAAAAATTCTGTTACATTTTAATAGTTTGCATATTTCTTTTTTAATAGTTTGCATATTTCTGTTAATGATTTAATTAAATAAGTTTTTAGTGTTGTAAGCTGCCTTGAGTCCCAGTATTTATTTATTTCAAACTTTTATATGCCATCCCTTATGCATGGCATCTCAGGACAGCTTACAGTCTTTAAAATCAAATACAATAAAATGATCCATGTCTATATATATAATAAATAACATATTACCAGTAAAAAAATTAAATCAAAAGTGACTGTAAAAATGTTAAAATGCTAATTTTTAAAATAATGATTAAATAAAAAGGTTTTGACCTGGCACCGTAAGGAGTATAAACTCGGCACCAGACAAACCTCTCTGGGGAGCGCATTCCACAATTGGTGCCACCGCAGAGAAGGCCCTGCTCTGGGTAGATGTCCTTTTTACCTCTTTCAGGGAGGTTCCTGGAGCAGGGCCTCTCCCGCAGATCTTGAGGGGTGTGAGGGTGTATAAGGAAGGAGGTGTTCTTTCAGTTATCCCAGTCCCAAGCCATTCAGGGCTTTATAGGTCAAAATCAGCACCTTAAATTGGGCTTGGACTTCAACTGGAAGCCAGTGGAGTTGGTATAGTACTGAGAATAGGTAGAGTATAAATAAAAATAATATCAATAATACAGATGAAGGGCTAGTTGACCCATGAAAATGAGGTGGTAAAACTGTTTCTGGATTCCATCACCTTGGACAGGAGATGACAGGCCAGATGTAAACCGTCAGCAATGGATAGTACGAATGCCAGGCTTGAGATGGCTGATCACAAAGACCAGCATCCCTTTGTTTTGAGATTTGTAAAACATGTGCTATAGAAACACTCTGTGCAGTGAAACAGAAGCACTTAGGTGAAGATGAAGTAACTGCCATCTTTAAAAAAAAAGTTTATTGTACATTTCAACAAAACAAAACGATAAGAAAATAAATGCACTTTTCTTACATAACTTGAAATCAACCATTACAAAACCTGCACATATGTTTATGGGTCTCTGTGTATGTATGAAAACACAGCTATCAGTGTGTGTGTGTCCACTCACAGTTGGCATCTAAATACTACCCTTTCAAATGTTGAAAGTGTCATTAGGCCCTCAATCCATTATTTCTAGCAGGTGAGTGTTATCTGTCTAGTGTTGTAATGTTAGTCTTTTAGCTGTCAAAAGGCCACAAAAACCCATCTATGTAGTTTCTGTGCTACATTCCAAGCAACAGGTAAATTTAAGAAAGCATGCACATCAGTAAATATGAAAGAGCAGTCCAATACTAAGTTTATCTGTATTATGACCTCCTCCCAAAAGAGTCAGGTATTGGACATGGCCAAAATATATGAGTAAGAGAAGCATTACACCTCCAGCAGTTACCATACTTAGACAAGATGGTGAGTATATCATCATCTTGATTTCCTCCAAATGCCTTGGATTCCTCTGTGTTGGCTTTCTTGGGAAATGAGGATGGCGATTACAGCAGCCAGTTCAGCAGGTGCTTTTCTTTTCAGTGATGGCCTGAGTACTGCTCACCATTGCTGCAGCTTGCCTGCAAAGCTTACCAGAGGCTGCACCAGGATGATGCAGGATATTTTGTTCAGGTCACCCTCAGGGGGGCCCTGCTCCCCTGTGTCCCACACTGTGTGAAAGATTTTTATACATTGGATGCTAAGGTCAGCATAGAGCAGGAGTGGGGAAGATGGCAGTCCAGATGTTGCATTGAAACTCCCAGCATCTAGCCAATATAGTGAATGCTACAAGTTCCATAAGAGCTTGTAAGTGTGCTTGACTGAATTCAGTTCCAGACATTTGTGATCGGGAAGCCTAGCAAGGCTTACAAGCATCCTTTTCAGGCATTCTTGCCAGATATGCAAAGGTCTAAGTGGCAGTTATGCATACTGGGATATGGGGTTTATAAATGTGCTACTTTAGCTTTACAGGTGAGCAAGCTGTTGCCTGCATAAGATATACATGAGTCTACACATAGAATGCTCCTGTATCAGCAGAGAAAAAAGGTGGGGGAGATTGGAATTGATAGCTCAGAGGAGTGGAAAGTAGACTGGAGGAGGAAATTAGGACTGGGGGGGATACCTTGTCCATCAGTCAAAACATATTTCCCCCTTCCCATTAGATCATTGAAAAAATGTAGGCAGTTCTCTAATCCCATAGCTTGGCAGGAGAAAGTCTGGGGAAGAAGGAAAGTGTCCTTTTCCTCTTCCATTCTTTTGATGCTGTCCCCTAGCCACCTCAAAATCTGCTCTGAACAGCTCTACAAAAGCCCCTTCTATAACCCGGCTAGAGCTCTGAATAGCACTCCTATTATGGGGTGGGGCTGAGATGTATAAAACATTCCCACAGCTTCTGACTAGCTTGTTTCTCTTTTTTGAACAGGTGTGCCTATGACTCACCTGACTGAGGGAGAGAAAACAGTGGCTTTATAGACAGTTTTATAAATCTCAGCTGAGTGTCTTTGGGCTTCAAAGATGAATTTACAGGTTATAGTCCCTGAAGTGCCCCTCAAGCCAGACAACACAAAGTAGTACCAGAAAATCTATGTTTATTGCTTAAATCTACAGAATAACATAACTTTGCAATGATAGAACAAGTGAAACACATCACTAAATACCCCACAAATTAGGTTGATTAGAAGCACAGTAGAAATAGTGGCTAGCATATTACTTGTTAACATTGAAGTCTTACTCCTCTCAGTCACTGATATAATTAAGATCTTATGTTACCTGTCTGGCAAGTCGTAACATAAGCAGATATCATTAAGATCTTACGTATGTTACCTGTCTGGTAGGCATGGCTGGCAGAGCTTAGGTAATCATGTTTGGTAGGCTTTTCATTCTCCCAGGATCTCTCTGCCATGTTAAAACCTTGCTATTTATAACATTCTAATTTCACATTAGCTCCAGTACTTTATCTTAAACACTGTACCTTGACTTAAATAGGAACTCAGGTCCTAGTCATAGCTCCTAGGTCCATAGCTTCATAGAATAGTAGAGTTGGAAGGGACCAAGGAGACCATTGGGTCCAACCCCCTGATGGTGCAGGATGCCAAGTCACACTATCCCACTCAGATGACTGCCCAGTTTCGCCTTGAATGTTTCTAGTGTGGGAAAGCCCATGACCTCTGTGGGCAACTGACTTCACTGTTGTTTTGCTCTGATAGATAGGAAGTTTTTCCTGGTGTCTAGCCTGAATCTGGTATGCTGCAGTTTAAATTCGTTGTTCCATGTCCTATACTCAGGGATACGTGAGAAGATACTTTTTCCTCCTCCTTTGTGACAGCTTTTGAGATACCTGTGCTACCATAACCCCTTGTAGTGTTGTAGTGTTCTCTCTTTAAGGCTGAACCTGCCCAGCTCTCTCAGCTTCTCATCATAGGGCTTAGTTTCCATACCCTGGGTCATCTTTGTTGCCTTCCTCTGAACTCTTTCTATTTCTTCTGCATCTTTTTTTAAACCTGGGTGCCCAGAACTGAACACAGTATTCCAGGTGAGAGATCTGGCTAGTGCAGAGCAAAGGAGAACTTGTACATCTCTTGCTCTGGAAGTGATGCTTCCATTTATGCATCCCAAAATAGTGTTTGACCTTTTGGCGGCTGCATTGGATTGCTCGCTCATATTTAGCTTGTGGTCCACAACTCCAAGGTCTTTTTCCTTTTCAGTTCTGTTGAGCGAAGTATTTCCCATCTTCTATCAATGCATTTTTCCCTAAAGTGGAGAACAAGGCATTTGTGCTTGTTGAATTTTACCCTGTGGCTTTCTGCCCAGCATTCTAGCTTGTCTAGATCATCCTGGATCTTCTTCTTGTCTTCCAGGCTGTTAGCTATTCTGGCCAGTTTTGTGTTGTCTGCAAAATTAATTATTGTTCCTTTTACTGTAGTTCCCTAGATCATTAATAAAGATGTTATTGGTCCCAGGAATGAGCCCTGTAGCACCCCACTCATTGCTCCAGCTTGAGAAGGTACCATTGATCACTCGCTGTGACTGATTTTGTAACCAGTTGCGATCCACCTAATAGTAGTCCTGTCGAGGCTACTTTTTGCTAGTTTGTTTAACAGGATGTCATGAGCCTCTTTGTCGAATGCTTTGCTGAAGTCTAGGTAAATCATGCCCATGGTATTTCTGCTGTCCATTTGGGTGGTTACCCAGTCAAAAATGAGATTAGGTTAGCTTGGCATGATTTATTCTTAAGAAAGCTGTGTTGGCTTCTGTCCATCACTGCATTTTCTTTAAGCTGCTTGCAAACAGATTTTTTAAATAATTTGCTCCAGTTTTTTTCCCAGGGATTGATTTTAGACTGACTGGGCTATAGTTCTCAGGTTCATCTTCTTCCCCCCTTTTGTTTTTGTAAATGGGGACCAACATCAGCTCATCTTCAGTTCTCTGACACTTCCCCTATTTTCCAAGATTTCTCAGCACCGCTTTTGTACAGTACACTAAAATGGCTTTTTCTTAACACAGCCTGGTTTACAGCTGACTTTAGAAGCACCAAATCTCCTGAATCATGAAGGTTTTGCTTGGAAGGATTGCTTTAGTCCACCTGTGACATGTTCTTGTGTCCCCATTCCAAAAACACATTCTGTACTTAAAGCTGGTTTATAGCATATGTAGCTAGTCCTTCTAAATTTAGAATTAGCATATGCAGCTTATAATGAAAAACATTTTCATGAAATACAATGAATTCTTATCTCAATATATGTTACATTCATACTTTGTGAGAGGGATTGCTGGGATGCTGTGCTACAGGTTCCATTTTTAACAATAACACTTCACTACTCTTCCATGTTTGGGATTTTATTTATCTATCAGTGTGGAGGATCATTCAGTGATATAAGCTTATAGTCTGAATTGGTAGCATTCTGGACCATATCATCTGGGGGTTTTTGGACTGTACTTTTGCCAGATTAGAGGTAACAATACATCTTCAATTTTTGCTTATCACAGAGGTATTAAAGGTGCAGTGAAGCATCGTCTTATACAAGGAAAAATACGGTAATTTAGAACTTGTTCTTACTGAGGCCAAGTTTTCTGGGCTAATGACTAAATGCATTTCAGGCATTGACCAGGACCAGTGACCCTTAATATAATTTTAGGATTATTGAAAAGGAGTAGCTTTTACTTTTTTCTAGGAAAATATACATTTAATGTGTGTGTGTGTGTGTGTGTGTGTTTGTTTCCTCACTAAAAACAGGTCAGTTCTGGCATATCTCTGATTTACACTTGGACCCCACCTACCACATCACAACCAATCGCACTAAAGTTTGTGCCTCTTCCAAAGGAGCAAATGTCTCCAACCCTGGCCCATTTGGGGATTTTATGTGTGACTCGCCATATCAGCTTATTTTATCAGCTCTCAAGTACATGAAAGATTCTGGTCAAAAGGCATCCTTCATGATATGGACAGGGTAAGTAAGGAAGACACCACTGTAGATATAAAACTACTTTAAAGGTTCTAGTAAATATATGAAAAACCACAGCATGTTTGTTTGTGGCACAAACTTTTAAGGACAAATTTGCACATTCTGTTTGGGTTTGTCTTCTGAAACCCTGGGAGATAACTTCTGAATGCACCTTACTTCTTCCAAGGTATTGTGGAGATTTTCACTTTTCAAGGTATTGAGAATTCACTAAAAGGGAGTTATACTTTTTCACAGGACAACTTCTTGGATTTCTCTCAGGAGAAATCATGCACATTTGTTAAACCTGTTTAGTGTGTGCCTGTGAGTTCTGACATGTGGAAGGTACATGACATTCAGCCATTAGGAAATGGTGTTTACATGGCAGCTAATCAGATGATGACCTGGACACGCGAGCTTGCAATTTTCTCGTAGTTGCAGGAACAGTGAAATTACACATGAGATGAATGGTCTTTTCTGTGTCCCCTTCTGAAGTGCCCTCATGTTCTCAAGTGGTTTCTCCTTCACTGCTGAGTGGGTGGAGAATGGAGTGGGAGCTGTTGTTTAACTTGTCTCTGGGGTTTACAGCAGAGGCAGATGGTGGGGAGGTATGCTAGGCAAGATGGAAACCGTATGAGATTCTGCTTGTTGGAACATAGGATGATTAAGCTGGTTCATAGAAACTGCTATATACTTCCTTGTACTAGTCCTTTCCATCTCTGCAAACCCTGGGAGGGGATAATGGGTTAGGAACATTGCTTGCTGTAGGTTGGATGCTAGAGATTGATAGTCGTCAATTGTCTTGAAAGGTTCTTTTCTTCTTTTGAATTCGGTGACCAGCCATAAAACAATCTATGTAATGCATGAAAACATTTCATGCTAATTCCATCCTCCACCCAACCCAATTATAACTTTGATCACTTTCAATATGAAATATGGCAGGACTGCTAAAATATTGCATTGAAAGCAATGTTTGATTTGTTAGAAAATCAAGCTGTATTTTTTTCTTTTTCTTAGAGACAGTCCTCCTCATGTTCCAGTAAAAGAACTCTCCACGAAAATTGTTATTGATATTATTGGTAACATGACTTCTACCATAAAAAGCTTCTTTCCAGATCTGCAAGTTTTCCCTGCATTGGGGAATCATGACTACTGGCCACAGGTAAGACAAAATTCTCAAAAGATTGAACATTTGGTAGCCTGATGCTTTGCTTGTACACTTATAAGTCCTACTGAATTCAGTGAAACCTAATCCTAAGTAAGGGTGCACAGTAACCTGAACTTTTCATAGTGTTATAGCTAGGATTTAATAATCTGCTCTTTTAAAATGTACATGTTTTTACATTCTAATAAATGAAGTATAGCTTTCTTGTTTTGTGTTTTGTTGTCCTGAAACAAAATGCCGGTATTCAAATATTTTGACTGCTTGACAAACACTTTGACTGCTTGATTATGAACCAAACAGTGTAAGCACAGGATCTGGGACAGCCCTTGGACTTCAGGATATCCTCACTTGATTCTCTAACCTGGAACAGAAAGGAGAATTTTCACATTGCGTCTATGTGAGGTACCCAAGAAAGTCAAAGAGAATGGAAGCACTGTAGGGGCAGGTGACCTCTTTGTAGTCTTTGCTCCGTAGCAAATGCCCAAACATGTCACCATGCAGCTGACCTTGTAATTAAGTTATCAAGACTACATTGCACCTATGTATTATTTTTTTGTAGGAAAATTGCATACATACTTTAGCAGGTGTCAAATGCATGTCTGTGTTTTGTGTTTTCTGAAACAATGATCTGTGCAATTATCCATTGTAAAACAGATGTTTAAACTTGCTGAAAGCACATAAAGGATCAAATATTCTTTTAGAATCAAAGAATAGTCAGTGGTGACTATTCTGGTTTTTATTTCATGCAGTTTTTATACACAAGTAATATAAAGAAATTGTGTTGTGAGGAGAAGCTCTGTGTTGCTGGGGGTTCTGTGTTCAAGCACAATTTAGTTGGATATTATCTACCTTTAAACAATTGTAAGTGTAATAAAAAGAGACTAACAGTGCAATCCTATGCATGTCTACTTGGAAGTAAGTCCCATTAAGACTTAGGATTATAGCTGAATGCTCCCGTCTTTGTTTAACTCTGAAGTCTTGTTGTCCCAAAATGAATTCAACTGTTTATAGAACTGGGGTGTTCCCTGTGCAGAGGTACAAAAAAAAAAAAAAAAAGCAGCCTCATAAAGCAAGACACTCTGCATGTGCACAGAATAAACTGACAAACACTTGCTAAAATCTCCTGTTTCACTAATTGGGAGACTGGGGAGGGTTGCCTTTGAAAGTGGGCTTTATTCTTAAGCCTTCGAACAGAAGAAATATGAACCTTTTGTGACAATGCATTATCTTTATGGCACACAAAACTATCTAAACCTATTGTGTAAGATTCTTTTTGAAGCTTAGAATTGGTTTTTGATAGAAACTTTTCTGTATTATGTTATTTTACTCATCAAATAAAATCATATTTGGTAATAAAATTGCTCAATGGAAAAGTAAATTTATATTTTAAATTCTGTAGATTTTGGATTCCAGCTTGGATTCCATCCAAGATCTTTAACACTGGCATATTAATTGTTCATATCTGGTGGTGTAAGCCAGTGGGTTTCAACCATTTTACAGCTGGGGACTGGCAAAAATAGGACATTTTTTTCAAGAACCGCTGAGGAAAAAATAAAAAGCATAAATATAGTATTTTGTGTATTAGTTTTTAAATATGATACCAAAAATGATAATTCTCTAAAATAACCAGAAACTGGGCAATAAAAATTCTAATAAAAGAATAAAATATTGAAATTAAATGTAATCAAATACAACTGAAATTTTTAGAGAGCAATATTTAATTCAGAGAAGACTAATGTGAAATCTACTGTTGCTTCTTTTCAAGAATACTTGATAGTCGTGGCTGCAGTGTTGTTCCTGAGAGACGAAACACTGCCATTCTGTTTCTCAGTTTGGTTTTTATCAGTGACAGGGCTGAAAAACTCTTTTCACACAAATACGTATTAGAAAATGCAAGTAACAATTTAATAGCTCTGTCGTTTAGAGATGGATATTCTTTTCCAGTGATATCCAAACCTGTGACAATGATTGCATTTATGTTTGGACATCAGAGTAACACCACAGCTCTTTCCTACCTCCTGCTAGGATCAGCTGGGTTCCCCTGGTGAAGGCAGCAGCGCTGAGTGAGCAGGAAGAGCGGGCTGAGCACGAGTCACTGCCCATATATGCAGCTCTGAGGCTGCCGCTGCCGCCCCCTCAGTGAACTGTGCAAGTGGTCCCAAGCTGCCTGACTCCGGTCTTGCACCACCTGACAAGGAGCTACGATCAGCAGGCACACCTGGAAGATGGCCGTGCTGCTTGCCTTGTCAGGTGGCGCAGGACCAGAACTGGGCAGCTGGGGCCACTTGCACGGCATGCTGTGGGGGGGGGGGCAGTGGCGGCGGCGGCGGTTTTCTCAGATGCATATAGGGGCAGCAACCCACACTCAACCTGCTCTTCCTGCTGGCTCAGGGCTGCTGCCATCGCCAGGGGGACTGAGCAGATTGTAGCAGGAGGAGGGAAAGAGCTGGCGTGGACCAGTTCTCCTGGCGAAGGCAGCAACCCTGAACGAGCAGGAAGAGTGGGAACTGAGCTTCAGTTGCTGCTCTTATATGCCGCCCCTCTGCAGCAGCTCCTCATGGCTTTTTCATGGACCAGCAGGAAATCTCTGGTGTGCAGACTGGCAGTTCAAAACCACTGGTGTAATCCATTGAAGTGCCTCCCTGTGGACCAATTTGCCTGACCCTAAAAGTATACAGAATTCAGATCCTGTAAACTTTGGACAGAGAGCCAGACACATTTGTATGCTGCTTTTGGCTCGTTTTCATGTTTTGATATTTTCACCAGGTGGCATCACATGCTAGCCACCTTTTCTGAAGCCTGTGTTTGTTCATCATCCCTTGTAAACTGCATCAAGGACACTTACAGCTTTTTGAGCATACAAATAAAGCATACATTTGGAGCTGTTTCCTTTAACCATCCCATTTACCTGTGATTATGGGAGAATGCTTCGTATACACATGGAACACAATTAGGTAGTAGAATCCTTAGACGTGGAATCAATTGAGCTATTGAGAATGCAGGTAGGGGAAATGGAATTGAGCATTGTGCCACCAGCAGTTTATATATTGATACATGGAAGACTACTACACAAAAGCGTTTTTATTGTGGCGCCATTGAGTTTTTGAAGAGAGGATCCATTTATAGTATTGATTGCAGTTAAAACAGCTTCACACATAAGGCCCTTGCTGAAAGAGCTAGGATCCCTACAAGCCAATGGATAGGGCAAGCATCTAATTGGTTGCTTCTGGGGGGAAAAAAACTTTGTACGTGCGTTTTTGTAACTAACTCGGAAGAGAGTATACACCCTTTTTCAATATAGCAAAAAATTACAATAATTTTATGAATGAAATTTATAGCAATAATATGCAATGATTTTTATGAATGTAATTTCTTAGCATTTTGAGAAGCAGATCTCTCATTTTATTTGGAAGGAAGAAAATCTGTTTTTCTCTTGCTTTCTTTGGTCTGCACTTACCCTTACTATGGGATTTAGGCCTGCGATTGCAAGATCCTGTTCCTCTATACAGCAGAACTAAATCTGCAACTCTTCAATCCACATGTTAGCATTTTCCCCCCCAGGGACTCATGGATGGGGTCAAAAGTACTCAAACATTCTATCCATCTTTAGTGTTAAATATTCATTATTAGATTTCATTGATTTGAAACACTGGCTCTTCAATTCCAAATCACTAGCTAAGCACGGATTAGGTATATTGCATATTATATTGTATCTATTAAATATGCCGCTGTATGTCATACGGCACCACTTTACATCTTAGTGGTTGTATCTGAAGTACAGATTTAAGGAGATGTCTGTATTTAAAGGATCAGCTGCCTGTATCAGACAGTGAAGTTTACAATGCTGTAGCAGATTTCTGGAAACCTTGGCTCACTGATGAAGCTGTCAGCACCTTAAGAAAAGGTACAATGAACTTTAAAAGAGCATGGATTTAATAGATTTCTCAATTTCAATTTGTTATGCTAGATATAGATTAAATTAGCTCAGTAATATTCCTAAACTTGGGGGTGGGGGTGTTGTAAGGGGAAAATGTTCCTTACTTCGAAGCACTATTGGAACTGGAAGCCTAAATGTGCTACTGATGAACTAAGTACAATAATTATTGATGGAAAACCCCCATGATTTTGAATATTTGGTGTGTCTTTGATGGTTAGTGTGGTTATTTCCTGGAATTGTTTAAACTCTGTTATGTAAATTATTTCGAGAAACAAGAAAGTCTAACGCAAGATGTCAACTTCCCTTTTTCAAAGCAGTCAAAAAGAGTCAATTATTTATTTAGTGTTATATAAGTATTCAAATGATAACATTCAGAGGCAGTTTAGGCCAGTGTGAATCTGAAGGAAATGAAAATTAGTTCTTCCTTTGGTTTATCCTTCATTTGCAAATTAAAAGCTAATCAAACCTTAGCTCATGTGTTTTTGGCCAGTAAATAATAAAAAAAAAATGTGCAAACTCCAAAATGCTGAAGTTCAACAAATTATTATCCATTACTTTGCTATACCCCTCATTCATTCTTCTGATTAAATTGTATCTGTGCAACATCTTGAAGAATCCTGCAGTGCCACAACATTTTTGTGAAGTTGGCCAGTTGCATACGTGTCTGTCTGCTAGCTTCATGAAACCGCCACCTCTAACTCTAACCAGGGAAGAAAATCCTGAGCTCCAAGACAATTATCTGTCAGGAGATGTAGAGACCAGCTAGAATCCCTTTGTTGCTCGGTCAAGGCAGCTTGGTTTCTTCTTATATCCCGTTAGGCTCAAGTGGACAGACACCAATAAATCCAATGGGCTGGACAGTTGGGAAGAACAGCTGCTGTTGGTTTGTCAGAACCTTATTCTCCAATCTCTGCCCCAGATTGAAAGGAATATAGTAAGAGATACAAAGATATAGTAAATGGTATTTTATTTTGTATTTTGCTGCTGTAACCTGCTCAGGGAGCCATATGGCTAATGGGGCAGGATAGAGATTTAATAAATAAATGAATAAATAATAAAAGCAGAATTGGTATTTATAAACAAGCATACAATAGAAGAAAGAGGAAAAGCTTGCTAGTCTGTGCTTAAACCCTTGGAGGTGAAATCAGTGTAGAAGTCACCTGGGTTGTTTTACCACAGCATCTTCAGATGGTCAACAGAAATGAGGTAACCAGAGTGGCAAAAGAATACACTATGTTCCAGTTTTATTCACTTGAGCGAGGAGAAAAGTTGTGCATATTTCACCAATCAAAGGAGTGGCACATGTGGAGAAAGACCCTCATGACTAGGAGATGGACTAAAACAAACCTGCTGTTTTCTCCCTTATTTAAGAGAAAATTGGTTTGACTATCCGTAGTAGACTTGATATAGAAATAGCTTCCTTTTATGTGGATCTGAAAGCCCCAGGAAAGTCAAATGGTATTCCATATGGGCCATGGATGTCAGCATCCTGGTCAAGGAAGCTCTTAGCTTTAGAAGCTTTACTAAGCTTTAATTGACATGGAAGGCAGCTTAGTATCACATTGCTACCCAACATGAATATGCATATCAGATTTTACCACAGAAAGGATAACTTAATAATGTTCTATAATGAGTCCCTGTAATTTATTCAGATTCTGAAGAAGCCTTATTGATATCCATTGATTTCTCCAGGAAAAAAACGATGAGAACTGAAGACATGTATCTTGTCTTCTTCCTTATAGGTGGCTTTTATACACAAACATTTCGGTCCAACTTGACTGCTCAACCTCTTAGGATAATCAGTTTAAATACAGTCTTATACTATTCACCCAACCATGTGACTGAGAATATGACTGATCCAGCAAACCAGTTTGAATGGTTGGAACATGTGTTGGAGGCAGCACATCAGAACAAGGAAAAGGTAGGGATTATGGTGATGATTTTGTACCTAACAGCTTGAAAAAACCTAACTGTTTATTTAAAGAAAGATAGCAGTAGCTAGCTTCCTTTGGTGAGAGCTTAGAAGATGGACTCTATTCCTTGAGCATCCAGTGCTGTATCTGATGATCCAGATAAGCAAACCTGTGCCATGTGTTTATACTCTCAGGACTTCCCCCATATCATGGATACAGTTAATGCACCAAAACCATATTTTGTCTTCCAGGTTAATCCCTTTTTCAGATAACTGCAAAGTCTTCCTATTTAAGAATGGGGTGGAGGCAGTACTTGAGTTTAAATCCGGCAGAATAAGACATGAATCACACATAATGCCAACCCATAGTATGGATTGAGTATGGATTGTTGTTGAGCCATTCGCTGTTACATGCAAACCCTGCACTGTGGTTTAAATGAAAAAAACACATAGCTTGTTGTTAGTTGGTGGACTCTGAATTCTTCATGATTAACAATGCCAAATTAAGCCATAGTACAGGTTTTGGACATAATGACAACCCATCAAATAAACGTAAACCTGCATTTCATACGTTTTCATTCTGAACAGAAATCAAGAAGTTGTACTAGTGTTCTCCATACAGAAAGCAACCTGAATGACAGAGGTTACAAACAATTTTTCTCTAAATCAATAAGCTACTAAGCAGTACTTTTTTTGTAAGAAAAAAGGTGCCAGAACTCATGAAATTATTTACCTTTCGCGCTTAGTCAATCACTGTACACACACCCACACACATCAGTTGTGTAACGAAACCTAACGGTAACTGCCTGCAGTAAGCACTCAGCGCGCGACCACACGACCAATCACAAGCCGAGCAGCACCATCACAACCAGCGCGGACAAAGTACGCATGCATCAGATTCGACACACAAGCAGCCCGCATGCACCATTTTAATGATTTTGCCGCTGACCTGCTACGCTCGACAGGGCGATCCAAATCCACATGGACCAAACATCAAATTTTCAAAAGTTACTTTTAAAATTTGGAAAATCTGTTGAAAAAAAGGTGCTGGAACGCTGTTCTGGTGCGTTCTATGACAAAAAAAGCACTGCTACTAAGTACCTACAATACTTGACTGAACATAAAAAAGACTTTTGTGATGCTTATATTCTGCTCCCCTAGGTGTATGTGATAGGACATGTGCCAGTAGGCTATCTGCCTTTTGCACGAAGTACTCCAGCCATGAGGAAACACTACAATGAGAGGCTGATACACATTTTTCGCAGGCACAGCAGTGTAATTGCTGGACAGTTTTTTGGACATACTCACAGAGACAGCGTTATGGTTCTTCTGGATAAAAGGGGTAATGATGTTTATGGAAGATGAGTTTCTTGGGTGGCTTCACCGTTTAAAACAACAGGAAAATGATTGGGGATTTGCAGATACTCAGATGATAATGTAATTGTTTTCAACAAGTGTCCATTTTGTTGCGTAAAAATCACACTGTATAATTTCGGGTTTCAGATTGTTATAAATGATCTAGCATAACTAAAACTTTTAATTTGTTCTTAGTTTAATCATTAAGGGATTACCATCCCTTTGTAATTTAGGCCATATTCTTAAAAGTACCTAATGGGGTAAACTAATTCTCAAGAATGTTCAAACAATTGAAATTGATAAATCTGGGTGGGGTATAGTATGCAAAAGGTAAAAAAATTCCCACTTTTGTTGTAGGTTTATGATGCATCCTTACAGTTTCTTAATCTGATAAACTGATAAATCTGATAAACTGATAAAATTAAAATACAAAAATGACAACCAATGCAAAAACTGCTGATAATTCTACTTTGAATGCTGTTGTGAAAGATTAACAACTGTTAATACAAATTAACCATTTTGTGATTTTAAAAATGTTTTATGAATGGATGGGCAAAAGTAAAGGACTAACTAATCATATTAAGTGAAAATGTTTCCCAGTTATTTTAAAATTTGTACTGATATGGTATGTTAGGTATTCTTCCAATTGCTATTCTATTGAAAAAGGTATGCTAGTTCATATGCTTAAGCTGCATAAGCAGTGTGCTTGCTTATGCAACCCATAATAATTATTTGTTAGGCTTTGCCATTTAATTTCATAAATTACATTGCTTATAGCACCCAAAAGCCAAGCTCTGGGTTCTCTGACAGGTTTAAAACAAAAACAACCCACTCCCTGAGAGATATCTGTTCGTTTGTTAGATTTATATCCAGAGCAACAGGAACTCACCCCGTTGTGCAGATTCGAACAGGCGAGCTTTCGATCAGCCAGCCCAGCAGCACAGCAGTTTAAACCACTACAGTATACTGCACTATAATTATTATTATCGACACATTTGTGCAGTTTTCTGGGGCCATGTTTCTGATTTTTATTTTTTAAAGGTGACAAACAGTAGTGCTGCTCCAAAGTGCTACTTGGGCATCCATGGTGAGCTGACACTGGAGGGGTCAACAGTGAGATCACACAGAACAGTGGTGGGTTGGGGCAGGGGATTTTGTGCTTGCTGAGTGGCTTACTAGCCAGTTCCCATAACCTATGATAGAATAATTCTTCTGGGTTCTGATGACGTAACAATCCATTGTGGACTGAACAACCCCTACAACAAGCCATGCAGTGTCAGAGGAGCATGTTGCCAAAAATAAACCATCCTGACAGAAATAAACCCCTCTATGGGAAGGAATCTAGGCTTGGAGAATGTGAGAACTCCTTGTGGTCAGTTACCCACCACAGACTGTCATCTTATGTGAACCAGAAAAGTGGCTAGGTTTGCATGACTGGAGAAACAAAAAGAAGCCATGGTGGTTTCTTTCTTTCCTTGGCCCTGCACGGGCTGGTCATGTTTCTCCTCATGCCCATAGTTTCCCTTGCCAGGTGTAGGTTGCTGAATTGTCTGAATCTGGTAAAGCTTCCAGCACCTGCCCTTTCCTGGTTCAGGCAGCACAGCAACCTGTGCCTGATGAGGGCAATTACAGAAATAAGGCAGCACATGACCAGCTTTCATGGGACAGGGAAAAGAAGTACTGTCGCTTATTTTCCTTCCTTGATTTTGCAGACCCCTTCAATGTGTCAGAAGGAATGTTCTTAATCTGGCTTGACACACTCAGATGTTCTGAGTGCTCCCTGCATCATTTCTGTGCCTCTGTACTGGGTTTCCTGCTGTTTCAAGATAATTACGACAGGGCAGAGAAAGGGGAAACAAAGCCTTTGAGCCTACATCTTACCTGGTGTTGGAAATGAGACAGCATTCAGCTTTTAAGATTATACACTGCCTTCTACAATTGTTTCACCTGAAAACACTTTAAAATCTATTTAAATGCTGCTATGCATTAAATCCATTAAAATCCAAAAACCATAAAATAATGTCAAAGTATGTAATGGAATACATAAATTTCATAGAGAAGGGGTTAGAGCAATAATAGATAACGTTATTCTTCCCCTTTTTATTGCTATACTTCCTGCTACCCCATCTGCTCCCAGTTGTTAACAAGACAAACTTACAGTCACAGAATAAGCAGCTATCTTAAATAATCCAGTTCCAAATCCCTGCTCATCCATGAATGCCTTTGGGTGGCTGACAAGCACCCTGTTCATTTCTCCTGATCTGTCACCACTCATAGACAAGGGAATTCACAAATAAATTTTATTTGTAAGATAACCAGGAAAGCTGTTGAAAGCTTTGGAAAGACCTGGATTAGATGAGATTTCACAAAATGTGAAATAAGTAACAGTATTTAGGATTTTATATAGTGTTGAATTTTAAACAACTTCACATGTATCCTATACATATTGATTCAGAAATAAATCTTATTGAATATAATAGGACTTACTTTCACTTAAGTGTGTATAGCTTTTCAGCCTCAAAGTACTTGTGCTGGTGCTCCAAGTTCTAGGACTAGGTTTTTAGAGTTTGTCTATTGTTAGAGTTTGGCTTTTCTTCAGTAATGAAGTTAGAATGCTTACATTCTATGGGGCTGTCTTTCTCTGAGGCTCTTGAATGAACAGGAGAGTTTGTCTTAAAATAATCCATGATTTAATAAACAAAAGCCACTGTTCTTTGCTAGGCGAAAAAAGTACGCCTTCATCAAATTTCATAATAACTCCTCTTAGAACAAGTAAGTCTGCACATTTTAATTGCTTTAGAAATTAATTGACTTAAATTTAAGTTGACTAATTTCTAAATTCTAATGTTAAACCGATGAAGGTACACATCATTTATCTCTTTAAAGTTGCTTTGGTTTTCATATGTTGCTGTAAAAGGGGGGGGGAAACCCCCAGTCTTTCCTTCTAACAGTGAGAGACAGCTTAGTTTTATTAATAAAACATAATTTATCTTACACATGCATTATCTCAGTGAGACACTCTGTTAACATTCTGGTCCATATTTAATCAAACATTTGAAAAGCAGATACTTAAATATCTTTTTAGTTGGATAAAACCCCTACTAATATACCAAACTTACTTCAGAAGTAGGTTAGTTTAGTGCCTGTATTTTAGAATATCTAGATTTGAGATAGTGATTAGAACTAACAACATTCTGTTTCAGTTGTCTGTAGGTTATATTATTGAAAGGAAAAGCATAATAATTTTGCACAGAAAAGCTGGTTGGATATACCAACAATAAGTTCTTTCTTACCCTTTTATAATATTTGGTACAGGCAGAAGAAAATCCACTGTCTCGGTTTGCTTGTTGATTAATTGGTGATTGATGAACTCTTTAGTTTGGTTTATTAGTAATACAGTAAATCAGTGTGTAGTGAAATTCTGTGCACGTTTACATGGAAATAAGCCTCTGATTTCTCTGGGAAAGAAAGTGTGAGCAGGATTGCAACCAAAAGCTTGGGAAGCTAGTCAATATGTTTAGAAACTTGCATTTCATAAGTAGAAATTTGATTAACCTAATTAGTGATGTAAATTCTTAAGCAGTTTGGTTATGTTTTAAAGAAGCTTACCACTGTTACAAATATTATATATTCCAAATATATAGATATTGATGGCTCACAGGTGTACAAGATAATCCCATCCATGTTTAATCAACCTGGAGTCCTAAATGCACTCACTAGGGAGCAAGCCCCATTGAATACAGTGGGACTTACTTCTGGGTAAATACTGCACATTTCTTTGAAGAAGGTCAAAAACTAAATAAAATTAGTTTACATTTTTACATACTGGTCCAAATTATTGTTTTTTCCTTGACATAACTTTGCTAGCTGGAACATAAAATTGCCGTATGGGTCTTACAATTAGAGTTATTGCACAAAGGTTTTCAATAATATGCTAGTGAAAGGGCAGGTCCCAGTGTAATAAAGATAAAGGTAGATTTAGATACCTTCACTTACTCAAGCTCTCCATTCCCTGTCATCTTTAATTATTCAGGGAAGCCAATAAATTCTGTGTTCGTGGTGCCTGCTGTGACACCAGTGAAGCATTTATTTGTGGAAGATTCAAACAATCCTGGAGTGAGGCTATATCAATATGATCCTTTTTCATATAATCTCCTGGTAAGTAAAAATTAAACATATTGGTTTTACTTGTGACATTACTTTCCCTGTGAGTGGTAGAAGTAGAAAAGGCAGAATGTGCAACATGCCACCTTCCCTGCTTCAATATACTAATTTCCCATATTTCTGTAGTTGTTTGTTAGTCTGTAATTTATACAAAACGAACTGAAGACAATCGCTGAGTATGTAAAAGATGGTCGAAAAAATCTACACCTTTTGAATCTTTACCTGCCTTCTAATTTTCATAGCATTTTTAGCCCTTTATTAGTTGTCTCCACTCTACTTACACCTATGCATGTACGTGCACATTCCCATCCTACTCTGCCCTTCCCCGATTGCAAGTATTATAAATGTTTATAAAGTATTATAAACACAGAAAAAATGTTTTAAATTTGGACCCACTTTGTTCATTGCTGGACAGTGTTCTCTTAAGCTACCTGCTTTACATTGGCAGTGTAATCCTGTGGCCTCTTGACAGTGTCTAGCCAGCCATAGGACTTTGGGCAATCCCAGCTTCAAGATCAGCAAACTGATGCATCCTCATAGCTGGCATGCATACTTAAATCCTTGTCCTGCTGGAGCCCAGCTTAAAAAGAAGTGTATCACCTGCTTCTTTGACGTTGCAAGAGGGTATCCTAGCAGCACCTCAGCCTCCTTCCATCCCATCTGAGGTGCAGAGTGAGAGGAGCACGGATACCACCTTAGTCTCCATGTCTCTCCCGCCCTGTATAAGATGCCTTTAATCCTTTGAGTTCAGCCTAGAGCATTCAGAGTAGCCAGGATCCCCACTTTGTGAACTGGGCCTGAAGGTAAACATGAAGGCAGTGCAGTTCAGTGAGACACAGAACAATCTATCCCCACCCCTGTGTTTTTCTGAAGTTAAGCATTTTTCACTGACTGCTGCTTCTTCAAAGGCAGCCAACTGGAGAGTGCACTGCAGTAGTTCAAATGGGATGTTACTAAACATGATGACTGAGCCCCTAGAAACTCTGTCTGGAAGAAGTGGCAGAAGCCACTTCCTCAGCCTAGGCAGGCAAAGTAGCGCTCCTGACCAGCAGCACCGGCAGAGGATTAAGTATTGCAGAGGTATCCTGGGCCACCCCAAGGCTCTAAAAAACCTTTACCATTGAGGTGTGCCGGGTTTTCTGCCAGTTCTGAGCTGACCCATCAACATCCTATGTTTGTACCTAGAATCAACTTGTTTTTTAGCCTTCCCCCAGCACATAAATACATTGGGGCAATAGTTCAAGGAATCCATTTTTTCTTGTATATTTGCTGGAAAAGGAAAAACACAGCTGCATGATGAGTGACACAGCACTCGAGCTTGCTGAACAGCTTTCCTAGCAGCTGCATCAAGATGTTAAAAACACTGGGGCCAAGATGGAACCTTTTGGTATCTCATGGACCAATCCCAGGGGGTAAAGCACCAGTGACCCAGCTGCAGGATAAGAGTAGAACTTCTGCAAAATCGTCTCAGTTTGTCCAGCTGGTTTCAAGTAGCATGGACATACTTGAGCATCAATAGTATTGAATGCCATTGAGAGGTTTAAAAGAATAAGCAGGAAGACTTCCCTTCTTCCTCTAGAAAGCTGATGATAAACTAGGTCAGCCAAGATGATTTCAGTTCCAAACTCTGCTCAGAGCATCAGCCACTACCACTGCTTGATCGCCTTGCTCAGAAAAGCAGTTTTGCTATTGTTTTATAATTATTAAAATAATCTAGCTATCATGGGAAAATCATGTGAGTATGATTAGCATCATCCTGTCAAACCCGTAGCCTGGTGAATGAATGGATGAAATCTGTACGAAATAATTTGGTCTGCCTCAGCTCTCTCCACACTTCCTGGTCTTGTTGTATCCCAGCAATTCCAGGTCACAATGCTACAAAAGCAGAAGGCAATTGGGATTTGGTGGGATTCCTCTTCTGTGCAAGTCTCAACATTACTGTTAAAGTTAAGATTATATCCCTAACAACTCTGTCATTTTCACAGTGTGACCCACTGTAGCCTGTCTATTTCCTTCCTACCAGTAGGGTATGGCCCTTCCTATCCTAAGCCTATTCTTAAGTTTCAGACCCTATTTTCTTCAGTGTTGCCTCCATCCATCTTTGGTTTTTGAATATGTGTTCTCCATGCAAACAAAGGTGAAATTCTGTGAGTGTGCAAGCCAAGTCCTGCACCAAGAAAAACTGACCCCTGTGACCAATATAAAAAATGCAGATGGATCCAATTTCCATTAATTTTCTCTTATTTTGTGCAGTAGTTTCTATAATATTTACTGGGGTTCTGAAATTGCGCTACACTGATTAAGAATCTGTTTGAAATATATTTCTCTTTTATTTCCTTCATAAGTTGAAGTTTTGATTTTTAGGAAGCTATCCTATGCCCAGTTCCATATTTGCAGTGCTCAACACAATTGTGGGATACTGGTGTGCATTGTCTGTGGGTGAGATACATTGTTTGTCTTATACGCAGGCAGTCTCCATGAGTATACTGTCTGTCTCTTTCTTCCCATCCTTTCCCCAAGTATTAGCATATAACAAAACTGAGCTGGTTTATGAGGCCATGTCTTGTGGTGGGGCATGACCCTTCTTTTGAGTTGTGAATAACAGGCAGTGACGGCTTCTTAATCAATACATCACTCTAGAAACCTAATGAAGCAGGGGACACAATTGTGCACCCTTTGTTTTATTTTGTTTTGTTTTAATCCTAGGATCTTTGGCAGTTCTACTTGAACCTCACAGAAGCCAACATGAAAAATGAATCAGTCTGGAAACTTGAATATGTTATGACCAAAGCTTATGAGATTAAGGATTTAACACCAGAAAGCTTATATGAAATGGCACAGAAGTTCAGTGTACCTCACAGCAAATTGTTCCAAAAATATTATAGCTACTACTTCGTGAGTTATGATGATGCAAGCTTGTTCTGTGAAGAGGAGTGTAAGATCAGCCAACTTTGTGCAATCCAGTGTTTAGACCACCCCTGCTATGCAGATTGTATTAAACACAAAGGGAAATTACAAAAGGGGTAAAAGGTTAATATTCACTCTAACCAATGGTATCCTCTAAGGCCTAGTCTAGATATAACTGGTTTGGCTAAATAAACCATGGGTTATTAGGCTAAAATTAAGTAGTGTGTTCACATACTTCCCCTCATTCTTCTTTTGGCGTCTTGTACCAGCTTCACTGCTTCCGTTGTGGGTTGTTTAAGCCCCAATTTTTGTTGCATTCAAACTGATTCTGGTACCATATTTTTGTAAGTGACCAATATTAGTTTTCCAGTTTGAATGTAATGGGAAACTAGTTTAAACAAAACATATTAAAAGTACTGAAGTCAGGGTATGAGAGGAGAGGGATCACATGGAAGGGGAACACAGAGGCATAAAGGTCATTCTTGGTGTAATTAAACCATGGTTTATTGAGTTGAGATTGTTATATCTGAGTCTAGCTAAATATAAACTCCAGAGAACAGTTAATTCATTCCTTATGCTATAATGTCAGATATGCAGTTTGGAAAATAAATGAAATCCTGTGCAGCGTGAAACTTTATCTCTGACAGAACTCCTAAATACCCAGGGATTTAGCTGCAGGTCCAAAGGCTGTCAAGCAATGTTTCTTGTGTGTCTTAGTCATTTAAACGTGACATTTGTTCATGGGCAAGGGTGCAACTTAAAGGGCTATTACTTACCAGTAAAACTAATAGCTTTGGCACAAAACAGTCAAGAATTGTAAACTATCTGTATATATGAAATTATATGTTTTCCCTTTGCCTAAGCTTACAAAGACTTGTGAACTAAAGGATACCTGAGAGTGCATGAGGCCATAAAATAATTGCTTTTTCCTAATAACATTCTGTTGATTTGATTTTTAGTATCAGACTTGCACATTTCTTTTTATACATGATTCTTCTGTACAAGTATTTGTGTTATGATTTTCATCTTCTCTGTTACTAATTACTTGAAGATCTCATTAAACTGTAGCTTTACAGGACTGGATGCTAAGTTGCTCCTCTGTTCACATAAGAAAGGATTTCCACTAAACTTCTCCTTTCATCTATAACCCCTACTTAGTCCCACACTACCCACATCTGATCTCCAAAAGTCAGGATTAGATTTTCTACAGTTGCAGGGGCCTGCAGGTTGAGGTGTTAGTGATTAGTAACTGGCTTTGAGAAGGGGGAAAAAAGATTGATCTTGCAGGATTTATTCATAATAAACAAATGTTGTTGCATTTGCTAATCACTGCATTGTTATTTAAATGCTTACAACCTGAGTCCTTTATTAATCGGTCCTAGTATTTTCCTAGATATCAAAGAAAGTTCGACAGGTCCGTTGTTTCCAGATAATTTCCTTTTCCCTTTTTGAAGAATGTCTGGGACACTTGCTTAGCTGTAGTGATGTGGCACATCACTCTTTCTCAAGAGTTTCTCAAAGATGTTAGAGAAGACTATGCAAGTGAACCAGCAATTGCCCCAGAATGCATTTCTTGGTACCCTAGAATGCAATTGACCATATTCTGAAGATGAAACCATTTAGCATAGCTGGATAGTTTGTGACCAACTTGTTATCAGGTCTGGCTGTCAACTGTGACCAGTTATACCACAGAGGTGAAATTGTGCACTGTTCTCATTTTGAAAGAAGGCAGGCATAAAATAGGAGTTTAGCAGTTCTGCCACCTAATTGTTGCCTGGTGGCCTTTCATCCTTGGTAACAAGCCTACCAGTGTTGCTAGTCTGTACAGATCAAGGATGGGTAACATCTGGGCTTCCAATGTTGTTGGATTGCAGTTCCTGTCATTGGCACCTAGCTAGGGCTGATGGAAGTTGCAATCTACCCACTTCTAGAGAGCCATGTGTTCCCCACTGCTGGTATAGACAGTACTGAGATAGGTAGGGTAATGGTCTGACCCCATATAAAGTAGCTTCATGGGCGCCCAGAGTTACATGGGAACACCAGTAATGAAAGTTGCTGCTATACAGTAAAGCAGTCACTAGTGTTGGTTTAGTGAATAATAGTATTCACTAATAGGGGAATAGTAATTAACAGTGGGAGAATTTGCATGTGGCAAAACATAGGGTATTTGCACCATTTACATAGTGGTAGCATGGACAGAGATTTAATTTGCTGCCAGGAATTTTTAGGAACACTGCTCTCAGTTAATCCTTCAAATGGTCATGCAAGAATGCAGTGAATTGGATCTTTAAATAAAGCAGGCTGTTGTTCCATTTTGTGCCATTAAGATTCAAATCACTTCTGCAGCAGAATGTTCTCTTTCACTGAAAACTGATGTAGAATTCCTGTGTGAACATGTTTTAGAATATCTACATTTTTTGCTCAAGCATAAATAAAGTGAATGCGTGGACAAAGATCTAGAAAGCAAAGAGAAATGAAAGAAAGGCTTTTGGTACTTAGGGTATTACCACACTTGAGACAAATACATCCAGGACTGAGAAACAGGGGTGGAAGAGCTACTTCACCACATATAAATGTTTAGGTACACGTTTCAACTGAAAACTAAAAGAATGCAGGATCACTTTGGCAGAAATCAATGTGATTGATGGATCATTTTATTACTGAACAAAAACTATTTAGGATTGTCACTAGATAGTTGCTATGGTTTCTTGAGCCTCCTGGCAGCAATTTGCTAGCCTAGCAGGGAGGAAAAGCCACACAATAGGATGGAAAAGTGTTCTATCCAATGTTCAGAGTTGTTCCAAATCTGTTCCAGTCTGGATATTCTTGCAGATGTGTTTTCAGGGTATTTTAAAGAAGCAAAATGACAAAACTGCATAATGCTTTTCTTGTAAAGCAAAAATCAAGTCATATATGCATATGCATACTAAAATAGTGCCTAATTATCATAACATGTACACACACCTATCCGTATAAACTATGATTCCTTAGAATAGCTTTAGAGCGATAGAAGAAAGCCAGGGAAATGTTTGCATTTATTATGTCTCATTCTTCCTTCTAAGGACTCACAGTGATTTAAATAGTTCCTCAGCCAAGTGCTGTTCAGGTTCATACTTGCTTAGCGTTCATAATGGAACAACCCTGGTGGAGCAAAAACTTTGTTGGATTCTTCTAGATTTCAGGTAGATTGACAAAAGGGTTCAGCTCAAGTTTTTTAAGATGAGAAAAACAAGAAGGCTGCTTCCTTCCCCCACCCTCTAAAAATAAGCTGCTGAAATAGGAGAAACTGTGTGTGTGTGTATTTACACACATGCAGGTGGGGAGGCACTCAGGGAATATAAACTCATTTCTGGTACTGGCACAAATTCCTGGGCTACAGCTTGTTTCTTAATTATGAAAAAATACATCCTTCTCTGGCTTGCAGCTAATTCGAATTGGTAGGGCCCTGGTGTTCTAGTAAAAAGCTGAGTAGGTCCCCCAGGCCTGAAGTCTGCACACCATTCCCATTGACCATCCATTAAGCTCCAAGTATGTGAGAGATTTTAGTACTTGTACTGTAATTAATATCCCGAGTGATGCACGGGTTCCAAAAGTGTTTGGGGCTTGTCAGTAGTAGAGAATGAAAGAGTAGAGAATGAAAAAACATGAATCATGGTGCTTTCCTTTTTCTGAAATAGATGATTCAGAAGGGGGGGATACATCTGGTTTAAAATGTATGAAACAGAAAGCATCCCAATCATTTTTCTAATGTTTCATTCTTCAGTACAGCTGTATGAGATGGAGCCATGGTTCATTGGGTCATATAGTGTACAATATTCCTTTTAAAATATATTTTGGCACATTGTTTCAAGGCTTTTTCCCACCCTGGCAGAAATCACTCCCCAAACAATACAACTCTTTGTTAGGAAGGAGCTTAGTAACAATTGGATTCTGTGGAATAGCCTTTCAGTCTGCTTTTTACTGAATCCCTGTCCAGCCATTCTCACCCTGCTTGGCACTGGTTTTAATGAGCCTGCCTGAACTGTAGTAACCCCAATGCCAATTTGTAAGGAAGAGAAATTAGATGGGTCACTCTCTACTATGTGTTGGTGATGAGGTAATCGGCTTTCATTGCAGTCTATTCTTTTATAGGTGACGAATCTCAGCTGGAGGATCCAACACCCTCATGGGCATAACGGACACTTTACTATTACAGAGGGCCAAGTTCAGGATTGTGTGTGCGTGCAGATCCTTTTTCCCCACAGCTAAATTTCACCTTGAGATGCACACTTTTCTATGAATGACCTCTAGTTCACACCCCACCCAAATGGTGCCATTTCCATCCAACTTGGAATGAAAGCCTCCAACAACAAATGAGACAAAGCAAGTGATAATGGAAGAGTCCCAAAAGCAACATTAACAATCCTGGAGGTTTCCTCAAAGGCTGCATTCCGGCCTTGTGACTTCAGTTGTAAGTGGCCTCAGTTGTAAGCCGCAGGTACAAACCCTCTATTTTCTATGCTGGGGCTTGTGCAACTTTGTATCAGGTGCTCCACCTTTTTCACCTTAAATGTGATGCTCACATGGGGTTCAGATGCAGACATGCACATGCATGTATATTGCCCAGCAATCCTTTCTCTTGCTAGGAAGGATTAGAGAGAGACTTCTCTCTACTTCATTCTGTAGAAATTACTCCTTCCTCCGTGTTAGAGCAAGTGGTCCCAGTCTTCTGCACTGTGGTAAGATGCACCATATTTTTTTAAACTATAATCATTATTCCCAAATTTGCATCTACCCACACAAATCAGTTTCCTTTCTTCTAATTGACAAGTGCTTATTCTACTCATGTAAAAGCTTGCTGTTACTTCATCCACACATAAAAACCGCTGTAGAAATGCCTTACTCTCATAGCATTGAGCAAACTCTTGTGTAAATCTGTTGCACAAGCATTTGCAGAATGGCACTGTCAGTTGTTTTCCTTGATCTCTGGATTCAGCAGAACAGTATCTAACATCATCAGCACTTGCAGTAGCTGTGTTGCATAAATGAATACTAGTACAGTGTCAATTAGCACTTCTTAGGAAAGTGAAGCACAGGTTTTTATTCGCCTTTGATTGGGAAGTGGTAATGACACGGCATAACCTTGGGTTATGATTATGGTGTGACATTACCCGCCCGCAAAAGAATGGTATTTTGCTTTTTGGAAGAGCAAAAAGCAAGATCCTAAAAACATACTGCTAAGCATTCTCGTACAGCTTCCTTCACCAGTTGTCCACTTAAACGTCTAACTACATCTCATTTGAGTTTTAAAAGAATCCTGGTAGCCTACTGTTACTCCATGGCACACACAGTTGCTATCCATTAGTGAAAGAGCTGGAAACAATCTTTCCACTGAATGCAAGATTTCCTTTACTTTCATGCTTCACTGTGCTTTGTTAGCCCATGAACATTTTCCTTTGGTTATCTTTTGTTAAGGACAGCTTCAGCTTCAATGTGGCTTCTTTGTAAATCGACTGTTTCGCCATGTGTGGACAAAACATGAGCAGTTTGGCTGTAGCCAGTCATCTTGCATCTTGCTCATCACGTCACCATCAGATGATGGCCAAGCCTAACAATGCTGAACAATCTTCAGCCTGTTATGGGAAGTTTTGTGGGAAGGGCTAAGAGGAAAGTTTGAAGGAAGAAAAAACTAGCTCCTTATACTTTGTGGGGCAGGGAGAAAAGTTATTGTCTGCATGGTAATATATTCCAACCTGAATTTTTAGATTCACACAAATAGGCAGGGTGTGGATAGGGATAGGGAAAGGTTGGAAAGCAGGTAACAGTGACTTCATAATTTCATCAGAGAATTGGTTAGAAGAAAGGAATTCACTCCTATTTTAATTTTTCAGTAAGAATGCGATCAGCAATTAATGGAGTCTAAGCAGTGGATTTTTTTTTAACTACAGCACTGGTGCTTAATTAAACAAAGGTATGGGTTATGCTAGGTGGCAAAAAGATATAGGACTCAGGGCCAGAGGGTGCATGCACACAAAGCACAAATTTGAATACACTAATTTACTGATGCTCTCAATGTTAAAAGGTCCCTCTTTCCTAAGG